AAAAAAAAAAAAAAAAAAAAAAAAGAGAAAGAAAGAAAGAATTTTGCAAAATGGAGGGACATGATGGCTCGCTTTTGTGGAATTCAACAGGCTGAAAGCGTGATGCTCCACGTTCCATTCCAATGTTTCCAACATTTTTCGTCCACCCACGCGGAGACGTATTGATTCGGCGAGTTCAGTCAACAGGTAGCCTGCGCTTTCACTGAACGCTGACGTTCTACGCACACCTGATCCCTTCATCCTCGACGCTTTCCATCCCCCTGCCGCGCTGTCTCGATTATTCATTGTTTTCAGGTGAAAACTACCTCACGACGATCGACTGTAGTAGTTTCAAAGAATAAAAATTTATTCCAATCTTCGTTCTCTGTTCTGTCCCTGCTCTTTTCTTTCTATAATTGCTTCTTTTTCCTGAATTTTTCGTATCTTTTGGTGATTCTTTTTTTCTAAACAATTCTAATTTCATCTTTGAAAGAGAAAGAAAAAATACGAAATTGAATTTTAAACACCATCTGTGTATCTGCCACCTGGTGTCTTTATTGTTGTTCACGAAACAAAACAAAAAAAAATTGTGTACAAAGGAAGTTTTTGTATATACATTAATTATAATGGGTTTGAATTAAAAAAAGAAAAAAAAAAAAAACCGAAAAGTTTCCAATCCCCTCGTGGGATTTCGCGTGTAGCCAATTCGGCAAAAAATAATTTTCAACGTCAAACATTAGCATTTTCATAACCTCTGTAATAATAACTATAAAAAAAAAAAGAAGATCGTGTCATAAAAATCGAAAAAAATTTTCAAAAAACAGAGCGACGATATAGCTGTTGTTAACGTTAACAACGAAACTGAAACGATATAATATTAATCTTGGAAAGGAAAGGAAAGGGAGAAACTGGTGAGTGGATGGCACTTTTGTTGTCTCGAAAAGTAAAAACGAACGCAAGAGTGAAATAATTCCCAAAAATAACTCCAACGAGATGAAAGAAAATCAAAAAAAAGATATGAGAGTATAATTAGAATAAAGTTTAAAGATAATCAATTTCATTATGAAACGCTTCTCTCTCCAATTCCAAAACCAAAATTCAATCCACAGGAAACAGGACAATTTCGAATGGAAATTTCACCTTTTAGAAAAATGGCGGTGAATGGAAAAGTTAAGATAAAGAAATCGAGGAATTTTTCGAGGAATAATTAATATCGAGGAAATGTTCAAGAGCATTATCTGTTCATTCCCTGGAACAAATAACGATGGCAATTAAGGGCTGATCATTTCGATTAATGGAACGATGGAAATTAGCGTTCACTCGTCATTTAAAGTAAATTAAATAATAACGTTCCCTCTGCTGCACTCTGCACGTTATTTGATAAAAGAACTTTATTTAACCTGCTGTTC